CACTGCGTAGTTTAGAACAAAAATAATAAATAATAGACCACAAATCCGGTGACGTGGCTGTCATTTATCTTTTATTATGTACTTGACCCGTTTGTTTGCATATTGTTGCGGCACCGTGATAACATTGTATCTCAGTGTTATTTATCCATAGATATTTATTATCTATGCAGTTATCACGTTGTCGTATCATATAAAATAATGTAAACAAATAGCCTTAGTCCGCTATATTGGAGAACGAAAAAGTGTACAGGTATAATATAGGGATTAGGGATGGCATATCCATTCTTTATTATCTACAGTTTAGACGTGATTAGTTGTTAACATTATTGTCGACTTTGGTGGTCTTTTGCGCATGCGCTCTTCTAGTTATTTTACGTATTTTTGTGTATGCATACATGCATCCATATACATTAATTTAAGTGACGGCGGCTACGGGTGTACTTTAACGGCGGCGACGAGGCATGTTATTCAAAATTTATAACGTGCGTACGTTTCTCTTCCTAAAATACGATTCCAAACTCGTGTGTCATACAATTTAGGCAGAAAAAAAAATTAAATGCTTCAATGACTTTAAATAATAACTAGAAGTATTCAAATTCCCAATATTTAATCCATATATTTAAAAAATAAATAATTTTATGAAAATTATAAGTGAGGCCTTAGGTGGCTTTAGGTTACCTCACCTCTAAAACCGTCACTGCTGTAGATGGAAAATTAGAGAGGTAGGATATATGCATAGTGTAATTTAATTTATAACTGTATCCAACGATAGTTTATCGTTTTTACAATTGCTAACAAAAAACAATTCTGAGCAAACTTCAGTCAAACATATTGTATTGAAATTCTGACATTTTGTTTGGCGTTATTTTGTTGACTACATTATGGTCACAATTTAAACATTCACCAGGTCCGGTAAATTATTTCACAGTGTAAACCACTCAATCATGTATGTAACTTTCTTAAAATATAATTAAAGAGTCTTTTTCTCGTGACTAACGACGACTTTCGATGAGCATTCTTAAATATTTTCTTTTAGAAGACACTACACCGGCAGTATAGCAACCATGTGTGGTCTTCTAATAAACTTTTATTAATACAAAAAATTTGACTTCAGGATGTCATTTAAATTCCTATGAAGTGTTTTTTATTGGATCAAGTTTTTAAGTTAAAAACAAGAAATACAGTCCAAAAGTTGTAAAATAGTGTACTAGGGGTTTAGAAAATTAAGTTTAGCAGCCTCTAATCACGTCTCATTTGCTCAATTAATACAATAATTATATTTATTAGTTAGGTTGTTTAGTATTCATGGAATGAAATCCATTATGAAATACAAATGTATAAGTACTATTGAGGAATTATTGTTGTTCAAAAGTATGTATCTTTCATAATTTAGATATTTATATATTAGATAGAACAATATACTCTATACACATTGAATACACTATTAATTCCATTCAAGTATTATTAAAATACCAAAAAGCGTTATCTTGATTTATTGGTGCGATGTCGTACCCGTTTGTATACAAATTATTTTAAGGGCAAAATATTGGATGGACATCGGCGATATAAACGAAATACAATGAGATGATATTTTAGTGTATTTTGACGGTTTCGTCCGTGTAATGGATAGCATTAATGTTATATAACTCGCCTGTTTTTATTGTTATATATTTGATGGGGAAGAGGAGCTGAGCATGGTGGAAGGAGGGATCTAAAAGGAAGTATATATACACGGAACGGACCCATTTAAGAGGATAATATAATATATTAACATATACAGTAGAAGGGCTGCATACCGTTGTTTTTGTGATTGAAAGTTCCCTCTCCTACCCCCCCATTCACCCGGTATGAACAATAACAATAATAATAATAATATAAGAACGCAATATTCGGGAGTTTTACTCTCTGAACACCTCGGCAAAGCTATCTGGGTAACGTTACGGCCCAATAAAGAGGAAATGAAAACAACGAACCGAACAACGGATATTTTTTTTTTTTATTTTTTCAACCTTCTATTTCTTTATAATACTTCGTCGCCATATATAGCTACAGCGTTTTGTCTGGAATCGCGTTGATTCAATAATAATAACGTTATAGGTAGGTAACAAGACGAAATCGAAATACGTGAGTAAAGTTCGATTATTAACGTCGCGCGTATATATATATAGTACAGACTATATAATGTATATATATATACAAAAAGTTGATTGGAAAGTTCATATTTTCATTTCTTACCCCGTACTCGATTACATACCTACACTGCAGGGTTATGATTTCATGTTAAATTGACTCGCGTGAGCTGGATTATTTTATATAGATATGTTTCCTTCGGTCGATATTTATTTCACAGCAGTATTTCTGTTGTATGTGAATTATTAATCTATTATTATTACGCACACACATTATAACTAACCACCATGCTATTATATTATATAAATAACTAAATGGGTTTAAATTGTTAATCATTTTTCTCGTCGTAAAATATAATTAAATACAGTATTATACAGGTATTTAAAAATGGTCGAATTGAATCAATTACAAACCGGAGTATCGAAATAGATAAAGTTTCACCGATTGGACTGAAAACTAATGGCGATCTTAAAAGCTTCACTAATCGTTTAGTGAAAACTGTATTTAAAAATGCACAATGGTATGATAGTTAGAGCGCATACCTACAGCCAGGTGGGCTGACGGAGAGACATGGACAAATGTACAATTAATTAGCTTCTGCTACTTAATAATATAAGCGTTATTAATAAAATAATCGAATGCCACCTGAATAGTAGTGTATCCGTTTCAGTTATTAAAATCAAATACTAATACAAACAGTCAACTTGTATGGTTCTGAAATTTGACCGCTCAGAAAGAAGAACGAAAATAAGTTCATTATTTTTAAAAGGAAAATTGTGCGGTGAATTTATGGCCCACTCAAGAATAATACAACCGAGGAGTGGAAATGAAGGAAGAATCTAAAACTGGAATCTTTATACAGCGATGCTGACATATCAAAATTGATCAGAAAGACACTACGATGAACTGGACATGCTTGGAGGAACCAAAATACTATACTACGTGCAGTAATGCAGAATCTTATAAACCAAGGAGAGACCAAGGAGGAGACCAAGGATGAGTAGATGTAATAAAACAAAATAACAGGTAGGAGGTGGTCTTAAATGGAAGATTCTAGCTATAGACAGGGGAGGATGGAGGCTTGGATGTAAAACGGAATGGTCTTAAAGACCCAATAAACCATGAAGAAGAGAAGAAGATTAAAATAGTAAATTGGTTAAGTTATTTTCACAATATGAGTAGGTATGTATAGTAATTTTAATTTTATAAATTTACATACCTACTGTATACAGTGTATACTATACACAATCGAGAAATAAACTAAATTGAATATAATTGGATACAATCAAGACGGTATACATGATTTTCAGTGGGTTAGAAATTCACGGAGAATTACAAACCTACGCATGGTAATCAGTGGCTGCTATGTAACATCACATACAATGCCTACCAGTTAAAATAATAACTATTGTATATAATATACTCATTATATAGGTTATTAGGACTATACAGGGAAAATAACAAACTCTAGAAAATGGCAGTAGGAGGTGGAAATAGGAGGTTCAAAACGATGCGTAAATTGATTTTGTTCTTATTAAATTGTGGTGTTTGATTAATTAAATATTTAAAACATAAATTTAATTGATGTTTTTATAATAAAATGAATACCTAATTGTTTATATCGAACTCACACAATATCCAAGAAATGCATTTAATATTTTAACCTTATACCTATATAATATTATGTCCTGAAGTTTATTTTACATTTTAAGACTGCAAACATATTATTTATTTTTACTCCGGCGTGTAACAAACAATTTTTTTTATAAGGATGTATGCCAAATGTGTTATACGGTATTTTTTTTTTCCTTTTTTCAAATAAATGTCAATTATTATTACTATTGAATAATTCTTCACAGCAGTTTTGACCCGAATTAAAATGTAAACCCTTAAAAAATTAATAATATACCACGATAAATTCAAAGTAACGGCGATAATTAATAAAGAAAAATGGAAATTTAAATTTTCCGGAATAAAGAGAAGTAAAAACGAGAGAAAAAAATGGTGTATAAAGTCGTTACCTACATTATCGTAGGGAAATGCATTCAACAAAAAAAAAAAAAAATCGAATATTGTATATACTTACCGATAAGAGTGTATATGAGATAGTGGTATAACGTGTCTGTAGTAATTACGTTAATATCAAAACTTTGATGGGTACTTACAGTGCTGCTATGCGGAATAAATATTTTCAAAAGCATGTGTATATATATATATATATATATATATACACGTATTATCGTAAAAGCCTTCGTTTTTCTGACCGTATACGCTGTCGTAGATATAGTGTAATGCAATTTCTCTGCAACCGTGTGCACGTCATTTCCCATTTTTCGTTTTGTACTCGGGAGATAATTCGAGACGTATCTATAATAAATTTATTTTTCCATCGGTTAAATTTTTTTTTCTTCTTACCGATATTTGTTGCTAAAAGACTTGAGAAAACCGAATCGGACCTTTATTTTAAAACCATTTTTAACTGTTTACCCCTACTCCAGATAGCTTAAATAATTATATACTTTTGTTTTTCAAATAGGAAACCCCCTCCTCTTTTTAACACATATTTGAACAAAGAATATTTTTCTAGACATTTTGGTGTGCATAACACTAATATCAGATTTACCGTTTATGAGTTATAACAGTTTAAATTTTATACCGAAGGAGTAGAGAAGAGTAATAAATTGCCTACCTTATCTATTAAATTTAAAATGTCTTTAAAATATACATATAATGAAATATAGGTACATTTATATAAAGAATATAATTACTCCTTTAAGCCTAAGCTTGTTATGTACTAGTGTCCAATAATATAAAAAGAATACAGTTTTTTTTTTTTTTTTTTAATCAAATATAATACATTACATACAGATATGATTAACAAATGACAGAACTTAACACTTAACATTGCATAATATCTTTTCAAATGTGTAAAACAAATGTTTAGTTATGTTAAAATAATGATAATACATAATGACTAAAATTCAATATTTGATAAACTAATAAGTGGACTAGTACTTTTGTATTTTCCCGGGCCAAAATCTCTTCCCGATCCGCCCCTGAATTTACAGCATATATTGAAGAAAGTAAGAAGGTAGAAAAGAAACCTTGGAACATTAGTGTAGTTTTACTAGTTTTTACACCCGTATAAGCTGATTTTAAGGTGTCACTGTTACGGTCACATCAACAACATATTATCACCATAGATATTAGAGATATCTTTAATGTTCATAATTATCAAAGCTCGTTGGAAATCCACACTATCTTAACTCATGGTTCTAATATTATAAACGAACACAGTTATTATTATATTATTATGCCCGGATATCGATAAGTAAACAGTAACAAAGAGCTGCGATAGACACAATAATCGTAAGTCATTTTCGTAAATTGTTGTAAACAATAATATTATTATTTCATTATCACGATATAGTAAAATTTACTGCTATAACAATGTTATTATCATTATTACAACATAAATTATTGTTAGTCCCGGGGTATCTTCCTCACACGACCAATATTATGTGACGGTGTTATCAGATAATAATATTCGTATCGAATTATCTCTGTATATAAACTTATAATATGCGAGTTTTGGTGATGAATTTTTGAGCAACCTTTATACTAGTTTAACGAATAAATTATTTTGGCGACGGCGAATTATTTTATTCACGAAATTTGTATGATGGCTGAATGCACTTTTCAACATCCAGGTTGCCGGAATCAGCAAACAATTACAAACTACGTTTACTGGCTTCGGACACTGGTTATTCATCGGTATTCAATACAGTATAAACACGTTTTGGCAATATTCAATACGAAATGACATTTTAGAACTTATTTAAATAACTAATATTATTAAACATATTTCAACCATAACGACTGCTTAACAATTTCAAATTCAAATGAGACCCAGAACTATCTGTACAATCAATCTACAATAACTAAAATTAATTTCAAATTATTAGTTATTAACTAATGTCGGTATTATTATTTTAAATTAAATGTATTCATTCGTCGTTTATAATACAAATATATATATAACATTATTATTTTATTTGTAATTTTCTCGCGTTTTATTTTAATATATTAGAGAAAATAATATTTATAAATTATAGGTATGGTATTATTGGCAATCGAGAATTAAGTATCTATTTTCTTAAATTTTAACCAAACGCTTTCAGGTATATTAACAAAACTTCCAATGACATATTTTATGGGAATTTGAGTTTTCTCACATGGCGCTACTTCGTAATTACTCAACACTTCGGACAGGGCCATTTTCATTTCGAATTCGGCAAATCTTTTGCCTAAAAATATAATATAAAATTACACATTTATTTATTTCTTCGAACAAATAATACTTAAACATTACGTATGTAAAAAAATTAAGTCATACCAATGCAAAACCGCGGACCGTCTCCAAAAGGCATGTAAGTGTTAGGATATAAATTATGAACGTTTTCTTCCGAAAAACGCTCCGGATTGAAATCATAAGGATCAGAGTAATATTTTGAATCGTAGTGTATGGCATGTACTGGAATAACTACTTTTGTCCCAGTCTTCAGCTTGATGTTCGTCTCTGGTATTACGTAAGGCTTCGTTACGACTCGATTCAACGTCACTAAAGGAGGATATTTTCTCAATGTTTCTAAAAAAATACAGATCAGAATAATATTATTATATATTCATAATTATTATATGTTACCTCAATCAATTTGTTATTACTAGGGTTAGGATTGGAATGCACTCATTGTATTGTTTCCAAAGCGTTCTTGTTTTGTCATAAATTCGTTTTATACGTTTTTTAATGAGAAAAAGAAAATTGGTTTTTCATTTTTTTTTTTTTTTTTTTTTGACAGTTTTTAATTTTAAAATCATTTATTTTTATTTTTAATACGTTTTATAGGTAAATATTTTGACCTTTAGGGAATTTTCAGGATTTTATGCTGCATTACATTCCCAGCCCTAGATTCTTTTATGACAAAATAAAAGTAAATAGTATTTTATACTATACTAGTATAATATATTTAATAGTATTTTATATTAATCTAAGGAACTGAAATTAAATAAAAGGGCTTTGTTCAAAACCATGTAAGAAAGAGTAACTAATATTTTTTCTCCTTGCTGTATACTAAGCATTTATTATTTACAAATGTTTACTACGTCCAAAATTTCAACAATTGATAGTTTAAATCCAAAATAGAAATTAATGTAATGATTCAAAAACTTTGTTTAAACTTCGATGTCGAATATTATAATTATTGATCGATTTATTAACATATTTTCTTAATATTGTGTGTTTGGGAAAATTTTAAATTCATTATAGAAAGCGTACATTTTCAAACGAAATGTAAAGTTTAGTCGTATAAGTTTGCGATGTCAGTGTATTTATGTATGTTTATAAATAAAAGAAAAAACAGACTGACTAATGTATCAATGCAAAGCCCAAACAGCTGATTCTAGAAAATTTGAACCATTGAAAATGATTAGTAAATCTATACTATAGTATTATAAATATGGCCCAACCTACACGAAATGGTTCTGTATACGACGCATGTAGTTAAATAGTGTTTGAACCGATAAAATACACAACATAAACAATTTGTAAATATTTTTAAGTCCTATGGGGTTTTAACTTTAAAATGTGTGTTACTATTTAATATTATTATACTTACATTTATCTTCATTTTACCTCTTTTATCTTTCGTTTACCTTTCAAATACACGAGAACGAAGTCACAGGTATTACAACATACGATATTAGTAACAATAATATAGTTTAACCGAATATGCGTTTTGGAGCTTGTGGAAATCTCGGGGAAAACGTGCAGTTGTTAAAATAAGGAAAATGTGTGTGGAATTGAACGACGGTGACCTCTTTTGGAAAGTGGGTGGTTATTAAAAACCACCGAAATTGGATAGGGACTTCGAAGTTGCGGACTCTAGCGTCTCGCTCCGCCCGAGGCGCATCTCGGTGTACGAGTATTATTGTAGGAAATTATTATTGTTTTTTTTAATTTGAACGTGATGATACATTTCGCGTATAGAAAAGAAAAAAAGGTTGCCAAGTAAATCCAATTTAAATGCTCGCTCTAATAATATTATATTTCTGCGTTTATCGTATTTTATCCGTAATTTTGTGTCCGGTTCGCTAATGTCGTATCGATAAATTAAAAATAAAATTATAATACGAGGTATAAACGTCAGGTAATATCTATCTGCTCTTGAAATTTTTTAAGCATAATCATTCCCTTATAGGCTATAATACCGATTTAAAAAAAAAAGCGAAAATAACCAATACATTATATAGATTAGGTTAAGTTAATATGTAACGTGTATAACTCTTTCAAAACTATAAAAGTGTACTTAGGTATTCCGCTGGGTATCTAAACATGTTGTCATATGAGTATCTGTAATGTTATTTTCGAATATAATATGCTGCAATAATAAGTAGTTACAGTACTGAACCAGTCTATTAAAAATGTTCGGAATATTTTTTTCTGATTGATCTACTTGTTTACGCTTGTACAGTATGCATATGTCACCGGTAATGATTGTAATAAGTCCTCCCAAAAAGGGGGAGAGGGTTTTTTGGACACCGTGGTTATTTGTTCCATAGTTTCGTCCATAGTACATTATCTAAGGTTATTTTATTTAAGACCATTAAATTAATTGTTTTTACTGTCGAATTTTCCTTGAAAATGAAGTATATTGTGTTATACTGTTTGCATACTATATATGTTTTTTAATATACACGCTTCTTTTAGACACTTCAAGTGGCTCCCTCTGGACAGAATGCTCGGGAATTAAAGAGTTGTTTTATTGGCGCATTTTATAGTAATAAAAGACGGGTTAAATATGAATTTCATCGTGTTGTTGAGGGAGAAGAGTGGTTTTTTTTAACTTTGAACGTCCATGAAAACCCTTTCAATGAAACCAGGCGCATTCAATTTTGTATATTATGCATACGTAATTAGTATCAAGGATATTTCTTTAAGAATTTCAACATTCAACCACAGTATTTTTCAGCCCATATTTAATTTTTATTCTTTTATTATTTTTAAGTAGTATAGTTATATTAGTAGCAAAACAAATTATTATTGTATTGCTATATTATTCAGTTATTTATATATTAATACAAAGGATACTTCTATATTAGAAAACAGGCAGGAGGAAATTTGATTAAAGCTTTGCTGGGTATTATTTATTCTATTTTATTTTTTTATCAAATTTAGTTTTCTCGTTTAAATGATCGCTACAACATTATTCACTGGGAAATATACAGCGCGCTCTATTATTGAAATCCCTAACAATGTAATATTGTACAGTGTACGAGTATACTGAAATTTTCTAAAAAGAGAATTTATAATACGGATGTACATTAGTGGGACATTGGCTAGATAACATTTCTAGATGATTAATTATATTAATAAGTATATCAACTATAAATCATAGTTAACAAAAAACGATTCTAAGTAAATTTGATTAAACATATCTTGCCGTGATTTTACCGATTTACATCAACACTTTAAATACCTTAAAATAAAAATTATTACATTATTACAACTTTTTTTTATCTCTAAGTACAGCTTGTGATAAACCTTGTGTTAATTTTTTGAGTATTTTGTGAGCCAGAGCAATTTTATACAATTAAAAACTAAAATATGAGAACATTTCAAATTACTATAAATTACTCAAAAATCAGAATATTTCGAAAATGTTTAACTTACCTACTTAAACTAGTACTCATCTAGTATTTTGTAAAAATGTCAGGTATCAAAAATTATTTTTAACAAAATTGCAGAAAAAAAAAACAAAATAAATAATTATTTCCGATATTTCCGTAACCTATCCCGTTTTTTCTAAGTTTTCCCAGGTTTTCCCAGTTACTAAGAAAACTGAAAATAACACATAGAAAATTATCTCATTATAATGTACCAACTAGATAAAGTGTTCTAAATTTTCCTGGTGTTGATGGTCATAGTGAAATTTCTGATAAAAAGTTGTTGCAAAAAATATGCATCCATCATAGTAAAACCAATAAGCACAGCACGTTCAACAATATTATTATGGTTTAAAAATATCATGTCAATAATTTCCGAAAAAAAAGTATTTGTGATTTTCAATATCGTAATTGTTATTTTGTTTAATTATAATTAATAAACACGGGTTTTATAATATAATGGTTAATTTACCAATTAAACTTTTGACCACCTACCTATACGTAATTTTATATCCCTATGCGTTACTTATAATTGATAAACCTACTAGTGGTTTTTTTTTTTTTTTTTTTTATTAATTTTCCTAAAATGATAATAAAGATTAATTGATTTTCTCGAAATTTATTAGGTATGTAATGCATTGAAAATACAATCTTTATTAGCATAATATTTATAATAATATATATGCCATGAAGGTTAATAATATTTATAAGCTATAAAATATTCTCTAAAATGTTAATAGATTTACTAATGAACAAACAACCATCTATATACACTATAAAGGTACCTAAAATAAAAGTAAATTTATTTTGCATAATATTTTTTGGAGGGTAATCGCGAATGTATTCAAATGTAGTTCGTACTTATTAATGGAATAACTAATTAATACCGTAATACATAACGATACGGCATTCGCTTTTACACCCATTTACAAACATACTCAAAATCGACCGTTGATTACTTAGATATTGTAACTTCGGTATTATGATTGATCATATACGAGGTGTGGCAATTAAATAACGAGAATTTTAAATTTTAAAACGTTTATTTAATATTTACAATGATTTAAGCACCCATGCCTTCACAGTACTCTCCTCTGAGTCTAACGCACTTGGTCCAGCGTTCTTCCCATTTCTGGAAGCATTCCTGGAAGTCTTCTGGAGTTAGGTTCTTCAAAACCAACGTTACAGCCCGTTTAATGTCCTACAAATCCTTATAGCGATGTCCTTTCATTGATTCCATCAACTTTGGAAATAGCCAGAAGTCCAGTAGAGCCAGATCAGGGCTGTAGGGGGGGGAGCGTTGTTATGTTCCTACTGGTCAAAAACTGTGTAACTTTTAATGATGTGTGAGCAGGCGCATTGTCATGATGACGGATCCAACCATTTTTTGCTAATTCCGATCTCACATGAGACACTCTTTTACACAATCGACTTAGAACTTCAATATAAAATACCGAAGTCACCGTTTGTCCTCGAGGAAGAAATTCTCGGTACACAATACCCGTTTTATCGAAGAAACAGATGAGCATTGTCTTGATTTGGCTTCTTACCATTCGGGCCATCGTGAAACACACTCCTCCGTCTTCAACCCACTGTTTGCTCTGTCGATAAGTCTCAGGATCATATTAATACACTCAGCTTTCATCTGTCGTGATAATCGAATTCATCCAGTCACGCCCTTCACTCTGAATTCATTCAAGAAAATCTTCGCAAATCGATCGTCGCAATTCTTTTTGTTCCACCGTCAGAACTTTCGGAACAAGCTTTGCACAGAGCTTGCGCATCAATAAATCATCGTGTAACATCTGACGAATGGTTTCTTTATTAATACCAAGTTCATTTGACATCATTCGAATTGTGAGGCGTCGATCTGTGCGCACTAAAACTCTCAAACGTTCGACATTTTGCCTAGTGTGCACGATTTTATGGGCACCTGACCTTGCATCATCTTGCGTTGATTCTCGGCCTGATGCAAAACGTGCGGCCCATTCGTACACGTGGTTTTGACAAGCAGTCATTACCGAACACACGTTGCAATTTACGAAAAATTTCGGCCGGTTTTTCGACAGATTTCTTCAGAAATTTGATGACAATTCGTTTCTCGTTTTTTAAGTCACACATTTTTGTACGCAACGACACTACACTACTAACTTTGAAAAATCACAGAGCACAAAATATAACTCCGATCACTATCAAACTTGGTAAAGTTGTGTATAATCTCCTGAACTTTACGTCAACAAATTTTCAAGATATCAGTATTACCACTATAGGAGCTAGAAACAAATTCTCGTTATTTAGTTGCCACACCTCGTATGTATAGAATTATTTTTCACACTAACTTTGATACACCTTTTCAACCATTTATAGGTTTAATTTCCGAAATTAGCGCATTAACCTATTAAAGATGGAATTTTTAAAAATATTTTCTAAATGCTAGATTGCATTCTAATATAAGGAAACTCTGTGCAAAATGTCAAGTTTCTAAACGCAGATGAATGTTTTGGGCGTTGATAAGTCAGTTGGTCAGTTTCTTATTTAATATATTATTGGTCCTAGGGTAGATGGACTTAAATCAACAAGTGGAATTTCGTTTTTATAATTACGTCTAATATAATTTTTTCTACTTAATTTTTTTCTCTAAATCGCAAACGTGTATGCAAATTTGAAAATGCATATACTATACCTATTATTTTCATCAATTAATTTGCTCGTATTGAAAATTATTCATTAGGCCCTTATGTTCTGAGACCAAAGATATATTCTAGGTTTAAATATCGCATCATACAATGAAAATTTACCTACATTAAATGTTTATTATTGTATACAAAATATAAATATCACAATAATATGTATTTACCTTTAATAACCATGCTCATGTAGTGAAGTTCGTTTATAGATTCACTGTTCATTTGACCGTTGTACTTAGCCTTGACTTCTAAAATTTCGTTTCGCACTTTATCCTGGATATCTTTTTTTAGTGCCAATTCGTACAAACAAAAGCTCATCGACGTGGATACTGTCTCGAACCCGGCTATGAATAGAATATACGCGTTCGCCACAATATCCATTTCGGTGAATTTTTCTGGAATTAAATTGTTCAAAGCTACAGTCAATATATATACTAATTGTATTTTAATATTATATACGTAGAAATATAAATTTGGAAATGTAATCTGTTTTGAGATGTGCGCTATAGACAATCCTTCATTTTTGAATGCCTACATAGAAATTATATCACACATCAGTTTCATTTATAGTGTATATACTGGGTGAAAAATATTGAATATAAATAGTGTTGGAATTTTTTTTTTATTAAAAAATAAGGTTCCATTATGCATATTGCATCAGGAAATTGTAATAAATATATGAGAGAGAAGAGCAAACCTAAAAAGTGTTTTAAATTTGTTATTAATTTTTATGTTTATAGAACACGAATATTACATAATATTATATAATTTTAATATAGTGGTTCTACACTACCTACTACCAAAGTATCTACATTTTTTTTTGAAACAGGCTAGGTGTTTTTTGTGATGAAAAGTTGTTACCAAATAAACAGTTGAAAAATAAAACATCAAAAATTCAATATTTTGTGTATTAGGGACACTGGGAAATATATCAACAATATAACGATTTTTGGAGATGAAGAGTTGTCGCAAAGGATTCATAACCATTGACCAGACGTACATATTCGCTAGGTTTTTAGGAGAGGGCTTAATAAACGTAAGTGAATGAAAACATTTGTTATATGAGTAATATACTCGTGATCGTTTATAAATACCATTGGGTTTCAAATTAGGATTCAACACCAAATCTTCTCGAGCCTTCATCAGGTGTTGTACAAAATCTTTGCGATCCACTTTGTTCTTCTCCCTATACTCGATGGTCTGCCGGAAAGCATCGTGGAAAAACTTAATGGTTTTTTGTGAATAATGGTGAACGCAGAATATGCTCAACAGAGAAGGCTGCATAAATATAATGGCCACCCGGATCTTAGACCGCAGTGACGGCTGGAACACAGTTTTTCCATGCTTCCGAAACTCCGAGTCCTTGTCGTTGATGGCATCCAACTTAAGTCCGAAAGCGCAGCTGCCGATCACGTCCGTCGAATAAGTAGCCATCATCTCACGGATTTCAATCGAGTCAGAGGCATCCTCGACGGTGACATTCATCCCGATCTTCGACAATAACGCGCTTGTACACTCTTTCACCTGCTCGTTCATGTGTTTCAATTTGTTTGCTGTGAACGTGGGACTAAGCTTCTGGCGCATCGTTCTCCACCGTTCACCCCGGGTAAAGAATATATTGTTATTCAAGGGATTGGACTCGGTACCGGCGTATAAACCGCGGTCCGTGAAATTGTTGAAGTCTTTGACCAGTATATGCCCTGAAAACGTTGGTAAAAAAATATATATATATTAATAATTACAATGGAAACGAAAACACCAACAAATTATTGTTGGTTTTTATATCGGTATTGTATTGTTTAATAACAATAAAAAAAGTAGCTGTTATTGCTACTGTTGACAATGATCAAAATATATAGAATTCATAAAGTTAATTTAATTGATATACATTTTCATGTATATTTGTAAGCCATTGGTAACAAAATTCTATTCCGAGAGAAGTACAGTTAAGTATACATGATATGAAACACCTAAAATGTCAAATACCTATAAATAACTCAAAAATCGTACCATGTCTAAAAAAGTCTAACATAAATTCTTTGAAAATTTCAGGTACGAATATTTTTAACCGAATTTGAACAAAAAACAAAAATCGAAAATAATAAAACTTTTTTTTTTGTAAACTTTTCAATTTAGTTTACGTTTTTCTCAGTTCTTCCCAAAAAGGTAAATAAAACAATTTCTTGCTTATGCACCAACTAGATCTAAAGTTATAAAAAAAGTTCTCTTGTTTTTTTTTTTTTTTTATCGAAGGAAGGTTTCTGGTTAAAAATGTATTTATACAGACAAAACAAAAATGTTAAAATTGCGCACATCATAGTAAAACAGATTTAAAATCTCCAATATTCACTATATTTTATTTATTATTTTTTGTCATACCTTTTATTATCGTTACAAAATTAATGGAATTATAATATTTTTTTATTGAAATATTACGCGTGTTTGATTTAGTATTCATATTCCAATTTCAAGTAATATAATATATACGAGTACATTAAAATTAAAATGTTTAACATAATGAAAAAAAAATGAATGACAATAAGCTATAAGTAGAAGTGTACTGGTACAAGTATAGTATAAGTATAGTGGTTATAAGTACAATCTTTTGATTTCATGTTTTTTATTTTATTATTATTTCTATTATTTTACTTTTTTTATGAAATTATAATAATTTTTATTATAGTGCATCTTGAAAGCATATTACACAGAATTTATGAAAAATATTTCGAAAAACGGGAGGGAAAGTTTAAAAATACACCAATGTAATGAACATACGATCACATATATCATGGTTCTATTATACAGAGTGATCAATATATTACTTATTAGTTTCTATATTTTTTTTTTTGGAATTTGATTTATAGAACATCTAAGAAACAAACAGTACTACAATTTTGCATCTATGTTACTTTTTGTCACCCTTATTTTTTTGAGTAAAACCACTACCTACTTTTGATTTTCAAATTACCACCTATATTAAAAATAGATATTATAAAAAATAGTTTATAAATAGATAGAGTATTAGTTAAAATAAATGTTGGTGTTGGATTTCTTGATTTTCGTCAATTTATTGACGAGATATTCTACTTTTAAGTTTGGGTCGAGAAAGAATAATGGGCATCATTCCACTGCTCTCCTCATATCGAAACTTAAAAGTAGAATATCTCGTAAAGTGGTTGATGGAAATCAAAAACGTCAACATCAAAATGTGTTTTAATTAAGGCAAAAGTAGTTTAAAAATTTACTTCATTAATCGTTTTTGTGAATCTTTTATGTATATATACTTTTTTTTTTTTTTAAGGAAAAATTATTTACACTGAATTGTAATTCAAATACAGTTATTTTAGCGATTTTTTTAATAAAAAGTGTGTCTTCAAACATTATTATTAATTTAAAATAATAGCTGAACATAATGCGTACAGTGAAATAATAATAGTACCGTTATATTCGGTTTTTTTTTATACAATTTCTTGACGTTATAAAGCGTTGTATATTAAATGCAGTGATGCATCCAGAGGACGAAGTTATTACTCCGGAAAACGCCAATGATTTAATGAGCCTTTACGTTAAAACATAACAGAGATCTAATTTCGACAATATTATAATATTTAACCCGAAACGGTGCGGTTGTCATTATTGTATATTGATAATATTATAATACTTAAATAGATGTCGAACTGATGGCATTTGCCGTTTCTGTCCATGTATTATAGCGACAACTCATTTTCTACTATACCTCCGATAAAACTCAAAATAAGAAATTGTAAACTAAATGAAGAACAGTTTATTATAAACCTCTATTTGACGATTTTATATCATATACAAAATTCCATAAATTGATCTAGTATAATTTGAATACATTTCGGTTTTGACAACTTTAAATTCTATCAATTCATTGACATGGTATTAATGTTGGAGAGAAGGAGAGTTTAGTAATGCAAAAATATGTATGTGATTGAGTAGTTTGAACCATGTCCCCAATACTTTCCCTCTCCCTACATAACGGCCATCTTAAAAATAGAATACGTCATTTATTTAAACTAAAAATTCATTGGTTAATGGAATTGTTTTAAATATAGGTTGTTACTTGGAAATCAAAAAATACATCCAAAAAAAAATAGCGACAAAACTTATGAGAACATTTCATGCTTAATTCTTGAATGTTCTAAAAATATAATTTATATATATATAAATATATTAGTGTTATTAGCAGGTAATAATAATTGATCATTATATTATAATTGCGTTAACCAGCTATATAACTATCGTCTATTTTTAATTACTTATAGTTTAGCGTGTGCTAATAGAAAATCGTTAAAATATTACAAATATATCGTTAGTAATTATTTTATCGACTCTAATCGAAAATTAAATATGCATAAATTATTCACACGTAAAATATAAGTACCAAAATATGACTCGTAAGTATGTGTGTGTGTGTGTATATAAAAATTGAAAGTAATTAGTATTATTCCTACTTAATTTTGAGTAAAATAACTCAGGAAATAAGTTTTTGTAAATTATTATCGTTGGCTAGATGGCCGAATTCTTGTTGTCTGTAATAATCAGTTGTGGGAAGAGAGGGGTAAAAAATGTTAGGGAGGAAAGTTGAAAAATGTTGAAGGCGGTTTTGAAGGTGTGTGTTTTTTTTTTGTGTTTATAAATCAACTTTTCTAGCAAAATCTTACTCTAACATTCTAATCAAAACTTTATATGATTTTTCTTGTAGTATTTTTAAACTAATTGATGCATTGAACAGGCATTTTTTTTCCTTGGACTTTTTTAAAAAATGGAAACAGCTACCAACTTTTTGTAAAATGTTTCATTAATTTTGGGATGTCTTGGAAAGAAGGGGAATAGTACGAGTAGCAATGGTACTGGGTACACAAATAGAATACTCTATAATAATATATCCTCCCTTCTAACTTTCCTCTTAAAACAATGAAACTTCCATTAACCTTTAACCTTAAGGTATAACTTTTTTTTTCTTTATTTTAGTACTTTTCTATGTTTTACGAAATTATAAACAGACAGAATTACTTAACAATAACTTGTATATACTGTAATAATTATACTTAAAAAACATTTGTAGAAATAATTTAAAATCAATTTTTATAATAAACATTAAGAAAATTATAACAATTAATTATTTATGCTAAATTGTTAAGATAAATAAGTGGTATAGTAGTTGAGAGTGACATTAAATATCTGTTCCCGGGCGATAAATTTGGTCATTTCACTCTGATTATAATATACGCAATTATTTCCCTATCAACATAATAATTAATAAGACAGTACAATAATAACTTTATTTTGGTATAAAACATAAATATCTGACTTCATTTTATACTAATTTCAATATCAAGATATTGTTATAAGTAAATATTATTGGTTCAATTCGATTGGATCCAACAGAATGCATTTAATACTATTAATAAATAATAATAATGCATAGAGTATAGAATTAAACAAATAATGTAAACATAAAACCAATTATACTGAGATGTAACCTATTTTACATAATCGCATTATTTTGAGATTGAATGCAGTAAAAACTGGCATTAGTTAATCAATTATTATAAGTGATGCTTTCAGTGTAACACAGTCTCTATATCTCTATATAATTATACTTGTTAAGGTGCAGATATGCAGTATAATAAATTTAAATAAAACTTGAAACGTTGAAACTCTTCCCTTTCAACGTTTTTTTAAAATGTATGTGTAACATACTTGCACGTTTTTAGAATTAAAAATACATATTTATATATCAAAACTATATTTTCTTAATATGTGACAGGAGCGTTTTATAGTGAGGTTGAGGGGATTCAGTAAACTTCACCTACAAAATTTTAAGACATTTGTTTTTAGATCTGCTTATGCATTATATGATATAAATCATAGAAGTTCAAAATTATTTTTTTTAAGAATTATTAGTTTCAAGTTCTTCATATAAGAAATGATAACTACGACTTTATGGTCTACAAATATTTTGTGTTCGACGAAATTTCGTCCGATAATTTTGGTCTCAACGATCAAGGGATTTGCACTATTACTAATTTATCGAGACATTGGCGTATATGATGAAATTGTACTTTAAAAATTTACCAACGGTGACAAAAAGAGAAATCTAAATTGAATAAATGTACTTTGTTTTATTATTATTATCATCTATTCTATTTCACTATCGATTTTTTAGAAACATTTAAAATAATACCATACAAATTAAAATTATCTACTAATCCATCAACCCCTCTTCAAAAAAAATAATTTTAAAAAATATACCTGAATACGCCCCTGATCCGTGAATATTTTTAACATAATTAATTTACAAGTATAACTCCGTTGATTTCATTATAGTTATCAAGTTGTTATACAGTGACAAATAATAGTAGGTACCTAAAGGCCTGAGTATTTCACTGAATTCTTGTATACTAACCCTTATGTAGACGTTGTTCAAAGCATTTTGGTGTTTTTTGAGTTATTTATAGCTAAGTATCTGCCTTTTTTTTAATTTAATTTTTAGTATTATTTTGATTTTATATTAATGCACAAAAATTTTCTTACAAGATTCTTGATAGATGTAATAGATTCTTTTAGTTGGATAAAATATCAAAAATTGATAGTAACGATTTTTAAAAAAGCTTTTGACGTTCAGATTTTGACGAAAAGCGTAAAAATCACCAACCTTATGAGTAAATACAATTTTTTGATTTATTTGACTCCATACAAATCTCGACAATTAGATAACAGGTTCATCATGTAATTTGTATCGATTTTGTTGTAAAGAAAATTTGAGCGTAATTCAATTATTTTTTAGTTTCAAATTAATGCTATTTTCAATTTAAATTTCTTGTAAAACTTTTGACTTAAATATGCTCAGAATCATATCGTTGTGAACTGCCTTATGAATATTAAATTTTCCTACATATCCTATCTTTTCAATTTTGCGTCTATAACTTTTTATTGTTTCTGTTTTTGTTTTATTTTTTTTTATCAAGAATTCCCTATTGAGATTTATATTTCCAAACTGAATATGTTTAAAAACCAAAATATTCAAATTTCGTTAACTTACAACAATACACCTATATAGGTTTATTGAAATTTAAAGATAAACTCTCTATAACATATTATATAGAATTATAAAATATCTCATTGTCGCTCTACACTTATTTATAGACTCAATACCTTGTATTATTTAATACCCATAGTGGGTAGGTGCCCACTTACCAATAAGTTCCGGGTCTTTGACGAGTAACTGGGGCGTTCGCATGGTGTATATGCCGCCAAACCGTTGATCGCCCAGCTTCTGATACAAATCATGCAACACGTCCATGAAATGCATCTGACCCAATATGGACGGCATCGCGTTGCCGAAAAACGGCACCGGTTTCGACGGACTGAAAACGCCTAAATTAAACCAGTAGCTATGGGTCCACGTGACGTACAGGTAAACGGCGCTCAGAATTCCCGCTATCAATACGAGCTTTAGATCGAAAATTCGACAGATGGATTCGAACATGATGACGACGGTATTGCCTTTGAATGCCTATTATCTATTCAAAAAGTACATAAATGTAAACGAAATTATAATAAATTACAATTACAATTATAATAAATTTTGTTTTCTGCCGAACAGAACTACGTGTCGTTGGGTCACAAATTCAAATTTAATCAGTGATGTGTAACCGTATACGGTTTTAGTAATAATAAACGCTCGAAGGTGAAGCGAAAATAATCTTATTTTTTTTTTTTTGTATAAAATACACTCGTTTAGGTTTTATATATGATTTTTGAACAGTAATTATCTTTTATATAGGTATACCTAATAATTTCATTCCATTTTTATGCTTAAATGACCTTCGGTATCGGTATAATCCAACTATGCACACTGTCTTTATGTGAAAATTTTAATTATCTAATTATAGTAATCATGAACACTTACATAAGTATATGTATTTTAAACATCTCTGCGTGCCATCAAGGTCTTTCCGTCATAGTCGGATAAATTCAAATTTATATTTAAACATACAATGCAATAATATAGTATATTCTATTCCATCTATACACTTAAATTATAGTGTTAAGTGAGTTTTAATTATAGTTCATACATAAATTTGAATTGCTCAATATAACTAGTGTTGAGTTTTTAAATTTCGTGTAACTGGAAAGTCATCACTGCAGTATTTTTATATCAACAACATATTATTCATTCAAATTTCTAAATCGTCGATAAACGCATATGGTTTAAATTTCTGTGAGAGGGGGGCTGGAAAAATAAAAAATATTCTGAAACAGCATACTAAATGATGGTATAAATTTAAATTTATTCAAATACTATTAGTTCATGTTATTTCCAAGAGGGGGAGGACTGGGTAAATGCCTCGTTTTACCCCCCCCCCCCTCATATGCGTCCATTAGAACGAATGTTCATTACCACAGACTTCGTGATTACTTTACCTACTTATCATGTATCTAGTATAATATAATCATGATAATGTTATAATATGTTATATTTAGACAGTATATTAAGGAATTTAAATTTGACAAAACAATAATGTTACTAATACTTAATTTAAGATAAGCCCTCTCATAAGTTTGTGGATCATAATTATCTTATACTCCAAAAATACTTATAATCTAGTAATAGCTATGTTATGCAAAATTAAAATCGTTTCTATTAAAACACCAACATTTTATTACATTACAAATCGAAAAAAAAAAAAACAAGAAACTTTTAACGGGTATTATATTATTACTTTATGTTTGTGATGTATCGTACTGTAATAATGATCAGAATATACTGTAAAATTATTCAGAGAAATTGAATAACTACATATTTATATTAATCCCGTCATCGTAAGAAGACTTCTGTAAAAAAAAAAAAACTAAACACATTGTTATCAATATAAAACGTAATATACAATTAATCTCTATAAGTTATCTCTGAACAAAGACGTATGTAATGTTGTTTACTAATAATATTTGTATTTAATATTTGTACACACATCTATTACATTAATATTATACTGTACTGTTATCCAACCTCTTGGATCAATTAGAGAACTTCCTACAGGTCATGAATTATCTTGATTTGCAGGCCTTTTTTAGGTTTATTTGGTTTATGAAAAATTAGAAATCCTTTTTTTTCAAATACTGAAATTTCCTAGATTTACTAGTTGTCTAATGGAACTTATGATACGTTTTTTAAGCTTAGATTTCCTTAACAAATTTTAATAGTTCAAAGACTATGTACGAGAATTATACGCAATTATAAGCTCGAACGTATTCCATTTAATAAACAAAATTATCAACACGAGCTCAATATGATCTATAATATAGCCCATACAAATAATATCGATTTAAATACTATTAAAAAAAAAAATAAATTTTTAAGAAAAAATAATACACAACTCACTAAATAATTTTGTTAACTATTGTAGTATAAAATATCAAAATAATATGTCTAACAAATTCGCTAAAATTCTAAATAATACAAATAATGTAAAAATCGCTTTTAAGACTAATAGTAATTTAATCAAACATATAAGCAATAGAACTAAAAACTTTACAAAAAATCCCCCTTCTTTTGAAAATACTGATATATATGAACTTAAATGTAACTGTAAACATTTTTATACAGGTAAGACAAATAGAAATTTTAAAATAAGATATAAAGATATTTATTTAATTTCTGAAATAAAACTAAAAAAAGAATTGCCCCCAATTCAAATTTCGCTAAACATGTTTTAGAAAATAACCATAATATAAACTTTGATATTAATACAGAGATAGAAATATTAAACACCCAAAATAACATTTACATCAACTCAGTTTTAGAAGAATTACACATACACAATGAAATAAAGAAAAATAATTTTAATTACATTTTAAATGTACAAACCAATTTTAAAAACTAGCGAGACAGCTATTAGTTTTACAATGCTGTATATTTCTTTTTCTTCTTTGTTCTTTGTTCTGGTGGACACGTTTTTTCCTAATAAACTGCTAATAAACTCCTAATAAACTTTGCTCCAAAGTATAAGTATAGCACCTTTTCTGAAAGCTCAAGTTTTAAGCTCAAGCTTTAAATTGTACTTTAAAGAAGCCATTTTTTTTGGTTTTTGACGTCATTTTTCAAATAAAATCACTCAAGGGGAAAAAACTTAAGAAAACGTGCACTTCGCGATTTCATTATTCTATAAAAACACCGACGACGTTTTCTACCAGAAAAAATGATTTAATCGAAATATTCACAATGTAACTTTTTTGTTGCCTTTTTGATTTACATTTTTACGGTGTCATTGCCAAGACTTTTGAGCTATTATTGAGCTATTAAGGAATTTTAAATTTTGGGAATTTTCTGTAATTCGGTTATAAATACACGTAAATACTTGAAACTTGTTAATAATAATTAAAATGGACTTACCTAGACATGGTAAAATTGTCGGAAAACTTTTTCTTTTTTTTTAATAAGCGTTTTGAAATCAAATTTAAACAAAAATCGCAAATAAATTACTGCACTTCAAATTATGTATTACCGAACTGCGCTTGGAATTTTCTTTCGCCCAGCAATGGTTTATTTTTGCTTAAGATATAAATGAAATAACCTTATGTATCCTACCTTCCCAACTTCTTATCTACAACAATGGCTGCTCCCATCCCCAGTATCAGCTCTTTTTTATTAATATTTATTTCATTTTTATTAAAAATTCTAGTAATATTGCCAGTAATAATTTCGCCGCCAAAAATAGATAAAAATTACCTACGGAATGCAACTAGAAAAGACAGATCGACTGGGCTAGTATTACTAAGTATAAGTTGGAATATAGATGTGGACCCAGCAGAAGTAATAAATCGTTTTGCCATAATCAAAAATATTTTTTTTAGATTTAAATATTTAGAATTAAATTCAATTATTATTTTTTACATAATAATGTGTTAATTTACGAAATATCTTTTATTGTATCAATAACGATATTATGTTTAAATGTAAGTTTCACTGATAAACATTAATAGGTATTACTATTACTGTTATTACGCGGACCATTGGTTGCGTACCACTATGTATTAAAATAATAATTAGTTAATAAACTGATAGTAACATATTATGATTGTATCATTGTTAATGTATATTCTTTAATAAAAACATATATTCACATCGTACACATATTAACCTCCGATTAGTTCAATTTATATTAACCTTTATCGTGTTATAATTTCCTATTTTCTCTTAACTTTTAATTTGTTTATTATTGTACTATAATACACAATATTATATAATCATACAGACACAACATTACAGTAGGTGCTGAGGTTTTTTTTTTTTTTTGTAGAATATTTTCGCCTTACATCGATCTATAGTATAATCTATGTAATCACATGGACGCCAGATGTAGGTTTAATAATAATATGTACACAATTTTTTTTTTTTTTGAAAACACCAATAATCAGATAGGTAATATAATAATGATTTCGACGAAATCAATGTAGTGGTAGGGTACTTCCGCAATGGCGATTTTGAACTTTTTTCTGGAGGTCGGTCCTTTGTATTAACTTACAAAAATGTTTACCCAATATTAATTCATTTATTTTAGTTAACTTATTTATTATTTTTTCATGAATATTATATTTTAATCAACAGCAAAGTTTAAGTTTAGTTTGAAAATTAAAACACAAATCTACTGTTGTCTAAATTTGTAATCTGAGACCCCCCTCCGCCGTAAAACCACTACTGGGGACATTATTAGAAAAACCATAATCGACATATGTCATCGACATATTCTGGAATAAAACTATCCAATTATTTTGCAGACATAGCAGAACACGCTGCTAACAGTGGATTTGCAGTGTTTTAGTCGGAAAAATAAAAATTATAATATCAACCGCGTTCGTTTCGATAAGCATTTACCAAACCGTTTATGGTTTTTATTAAATCTGTAGGTGTGTAACACGTAAACCAAACTAGAAGTAGTTTAGTTATTAAGAACGAAGCCAAAAATATTTGTAACATTTGTTCAATACAGCGACAAATGGTTAAATCAAAATGAACATTATTATTACAAAACAGCAACCGTCAAAATACACAAAAATAGGTATAACTTTATTGCCCCTGGCACAGAAACGCACAATCAAGCAATATTTATGGTTATGTAGTAAAGAAAAATAAAAAATATACAATTTGGTATCGCCTCGAAACAGGGTTAATATACATTTAGTTTGTTGCACGTATTCATAATAAAACGAAAATACATTAATTTGTATTTTTGTCATATAACAATATATCATGACCAGGAATTAAGATACATCTTAATCCGTCATCATGACGTAAACTTGTTGTAAATAAAATTAATTGCCATAGAACAGTTCTATGGTTCTTCTATAGTTACTATAGAAAACATCAGGTTAACCAGTAATCACGTTCGGTTGGCTATTTATAGTATCGGTTACTATTAACATTGGAATTTTTAATCCCCTCACCACTGCGTATCCCTTTTGTTATTACTGACGCACTGATAACAGTTTACAACTTATTTTTCCAATAATAGTTAATTCTAGTCAACATTACTATCACAATATTATACAAATTATAAATTGGCCATTATATACAGTTATTTAGTTTTTCATAAATGTAAAATGGCCAATTGAAAAGTTAAAAAAACAATTATTGAAAAGGTGTTATGACCGCCCACCCCCACCCCCGCTGGGTTCACCCCGGGCTCCACGACCAGTGTCTAGT